CCTTTCTCTCTCTGTGCAGGGCAGTGACCACACCAAGGCTGTTGGCCTGGAGACCAAGAAGAGAAGGAGAAGGAGACAAGCAGAAGAAACCTGCAGCTGGGAGAAGTATTTTCAGAAACGTTTTGTGCCAAACAGAGCCGTAGATATTTTACACCAATCACCAATTTGCTGACTAATTGTAACCAATGAGGAAAGTGTAAATTGTGCGGAGGGAATAAAAGCCAGCGTGCTGTTGTAATAAACAGAATGTTTGCCTTCTGGAACACAATGTGCCCCTGCAGGACGTGTCCCCTGGTCCAGGCAGGACTGGCAGCATTCCCTGCTGCTTCTGGTCTGTTTGAAGCTGCCCAGGTTTTATTAAACCCCATCAGCAGAGCCCCAAGGCCAGGAATGGCTCTGAGTGCTGCTGGAGGAGCTGCACGGAGCTAATGAGGGGTGGTTGGTGTTTCACTCCACTTGGGACCCAGCTCTGCTGCAAACTCCAGTTCCTTTATTGAGATTTTCTGTCTAACTCTTTTACAGAACGGGGTGTTTTTAAGCAGAGAGCCATGGAATGATTTGGATTGGGAGGGACCTGAAAAATGCATTTCCAGAGCCCTGCAGGGACACCTGCCACTGTCCCAGGTTGTTCCAAACCCCATCCAACATCCAGGACACTTCCAGGGATGGGGCAGCCACAGCTTCTCCCCCAAAAGGGGCTGGTTGATCCTTATTTTTAATTTATTCTCCTTATCATACTCATAATGACACTTCTAAAAATCAAGATACTCAAATCTCATCTTCCCAGCCATGAGCAGGATCTCTGGAGATCAGGACATTTTCTGCTCTTGCCCTGAGGAATGGGTGGTGTGCCCCTGAAATCTGATTTCCTCCATTTTCTGGGGATCAAGGAAAGATTTTAATTCCTGCCCTCCAACAAGCTCAAACTCCAAGTCATTCTGAGCCTTCTTTATTGCTCTCACTCTTATGAGGAAGGCATTAATATCAGACAGGTAATTTATTTTTCTTAATTTAAGGCGAGGTTCCAGCTTGATGGACTCACAGCCCCTCCAACCCCCCCCTCCTTCTTTTCTACAGCTTTAAAAAAGTGACAAGTGACATTTAAAGGAGCCAAAACCACCTAAAAATTAATAACTTTCAATACACACTACATTAGAGCCTTAAATCTTCATGCAGCTTGAAAATATCTATAAAAGCACTAGATTTGCCATGGCCAACGTGCCAAATTCCTTCAGGGACTTTTTCCAGTGGGGAGTCGGGATGAAATTGTGTTTATCAATCTTTGGAACACTTGCAATTCATTACTGAAAAGGGCAGCTTATTCCAAAAGATTTTTAAATCTCACAGCAAAACACTGCCAGCCTTGGAAATGACTTGGGGCAGGAGAAATGCTGGGACAGGCTCTGGGATGCAGATCCCACCCCAGCATTCCCAGGACAGGGGAATTTCAGTGCCCATGGACATCTGCAAGGTGATTTTGAGTGAGGGAGAAAAGCAGCGTCTGATTTTCCCCCAAATCTTTGAGAATCTCTCATTTACACCCATCAGTTGTTGGGGTTTTTTTGGTTTTTTTTTGCAGAGCACAGCGTTGGTTTGAAGCTCAGCATCTCCTCTGGGGGTTCTGGGACCTCCCAGATGCCACCAAAGCCACCCTTCAGTAACGAGGTCCCTTCATGAATGCTCCTTTTGCTGTTTGCTGGGAGAGGAGTCCCAGGGAACTCCATCAAAATTTAATTTTTGGGGTTTACCTGGAGATCTGCTGAGTTTCTCCATCCTCCCTTGCAGAGCAGTCACTTCCCTCACCAGAACTGTGTGAAGAGGGGTAGGAGGACCTTGCCTAAAGGAGATTTTGGGCATGGTCTGAAGCTGAAGGTGCAACAGAATCACACCAATCCAGGAACTGAGACTTTAAAAAGAACACAACAAATATAAAACTCATAAGAAAAACCCGAGGATCAACACATTAATCCTGGGTTTTGGCACTATGGCTGAAAAGAAAGTTTTATATAAATGTCTTTGGCTTTAATTGCAGGCAGGAGAGTTAAAATTTTGATTTTTGTAAAATCTGGAGCCCCACATCAGCTCATAAAGAGTTATTTTGATTTGATTTGATTACTTGAGCTCAGCCCAATGGCTTCTGCTTCGATCCAAAGCAATCCAGGACACAAATTTTTGGCTCTTCCAGACCTTTAGCACTTGAGGAAAGTTTAACTTCATGCCTTCAACTCATTCTTGGAGCATTTTCTCCTTAACTTTTAAGGATACAAACAGAAGTTATGGGCTTCTTACCCAAACTGGCATCTGGGTATAAATAGAGGAAACCCAGCAACATCTCAGGCAGAAAACCATGAATTTACCCAGAGATTGTGCCCACAGGAGTTCATTTTGTTCCCACAATTCCCACTAATTGCCAAGAAAATCTGTAATCTAATGTCAGTTCCACACATCCTCCAAATCAAAGCTAAAATTAGGTTATTTTGAAATAAGGAAATAAAAAAGGGGAAGTTTGTTTAATTTTACCTTCTCTTTCAGTAGCTTTTCCCAGAGCACAGGGGGAAGTTGCAGTCAAGACAATTATAAACTAATTAAAAAATTAAGCAATATATTCTCCAACATCCACATGCCCAGCAGGTGGGGGGAAGGTTAAGGAAAAAAAAACAAAACAAAACACCAAGACAAGAAATAATTCTGGGTGACATTTCCTTCCCCAGTCCTGACTGACACAGAACAATCCCCTCAAAAATTACACCAGGACGATTAAATTGCCTTTAACGATCCTTACAATAAAAATATTTCCATTCTCACCTTTCAGGAGCACGGGAATGCTGTTGCCCTTTGGATATTTCTTGGAATGCATCGTCCTGCTGACCTGGAGCCTCCAGGAATGGCTGGGAGCTCTTCCATTTTCAGCTGCCTGGGTCGGTGTTTTAAACTCTGTCTGGAGATTTCTCGTGTTTGGAGCAGCTTTTCCCCTCCATCCATGGCACTGCCAAGGCTGACAGATCTCAGGAGATCTCATCTGGAAACTCCTCACCCACATTTTCACTCCATTTTCTTTTCATTTCCTGCCCAACACTTAATTTTAAATGCATTACCTTCCACGCATCAGGTTCACTCCCTGTGTCCTGCCTAGCCCAGCACATCCATCCCCATCCTTCCTTGCCTTCCAGGGAGAAATAAATCACTTTTCCAGGTGAGAAACACAAGAGGCAGTAGAATATTGTGTCTGTGAGACAGCACTCAGCACTTGCAGGAATTCATTAAGCCTTGTGGCCAAGATTTCACTTAACACACCCAAATAAATACCTGAAATAATCACCAAATTCATTCTGTCCTGAACTTTGTCGATGTGTTCTTCCCCCTCCAGATAAAACTTCATCCCATGTATTCTAATCCGAGTTGGTTTAGCTCCAGCTCAGGTTTGCAGACGAAAAATCTCCCTTCTGATTAAAACCTCCCTTCTGATTAAAACCCAACTTTTAGTTAAAAAAAACCCAAATTGTTTTCCCTCTCTTCCCCTCCCCCAGTCCCCAAACCACCTCTTTTTTTTCAGACAAACCAAATAAATTGAGCTTCTCCCAACTCAGGTTTTTAAAATTCAGAACAATTCCCTGATTTATTTCCAAGAGGAGAGAACCAGGACCCAGCATTGTCCCCTCTCTCCACGGGATCCCCGTGTCACACACCCAGAGAAATCAAACAGTAGCTTGGCTGTGGTGTCCCAACCACAAAATAATATGTTTATTTTTTTTCCACCACTTTTTTTTTTTTTTCCGTTTGTTGTTGTCATTTTATTGATAAAAACTACACAAAAACTAACTGATCATAATAATTAATTAAAAAAAAAAAAAAAACGAACAAAACCAAAACCCAAACCGAAAAACAACGTTACACATTCTGCTGTGTTTTAGAAATTGTGTCAGCCAGTGAGTTGCACTAAATGCTCTTTGAAAGATTTTCCTTCTGAACCGTTTCAAGCACTTCACTTCCATTTTGGTTCCCAAACGTCCATGAATTTTCCTTAACAAGCACCACTGGCCTGGAATCTGAGTCGTGACTCCGTTGCAGTATTTCCCCTTTTTTTTTTTTTTTTTTTTTTTTAGAGCCCATAAAGGAATTAGAGTGTCAACAATGAAGCACAATGAAGATAAAAAATCAAAAGCCCCCTCCATAGTGTACAGCCTGTGTCTTAAATGTACATGCACCCGAGTTTCTTTGTTTCTGCTGCATCAATTGCCAAGGTCCTTTTGGTTCAACATAAGCTTTAATGCCCATGTCTGAAGGTTGAAATATTAATGCTTGACCACTTAAAAAACAACCCCCCACCCCAAAAAAAAAACCCCAACCGAAAAAACCAACCCCCGAAAGGAAAAAAGAAAATATAGAGCTATCTTTTGTTGGTTTAAAAAGAACAAAAATAGTCAACGGATCTTTGTAATAAACACTTAATAAGGGAACATGGCTGACCCTCCCCAGAGCCTCGCCCTCCCCACCCCGTTCATTTTTACCTGTGGTTCTCCTTCCCTGGAACCGTGCAATGTAGAAAAATCAAATATACAAACAAAACTCTTAATCCATCCCTTTATGTAGCTAGAGTGAAATCTATTTGCCGTTGCCGCCGTCGTTGCTGCCGTTCTTTTTTTTTGTTTGTTTTTTTAATAAGAACTCGACGATCCCCCTCTTTAATATTTACACCGAGGAACTCGAGAGTTTAAAGCAAAGGAGAAAAAAAAAATCCCGAAGTCCTCCGCGCCCTTCCTCGCGCCGGCGTTGGGCCACCGTCCCCCTTTGCCCTGGGAGAGCGTTTCCCGCTGGAACGGTGAGGTTCTGAGCGCCTTCCTTGCCTGGCTCTCTGCCCAGACCACGGAAGGTCCCTGCCAGAGCTGTCCCCGCGCAGGGTGGCCGCCGTTAGTTGGGTATTCTCTCGATGTAGATGGCGGGCGCGGCCGAGCGCGCGATGGTGGCGATGAAGCCGTGCTCCCGGCCCAGCTCCAGGCTGGAGGCGTCCGCCGGCTCCCGGGACACCGTCTCGTAGCCCTTGTTGACGTGGAGAGGCTTGTGGGCCTGGCAGTAGCCGATCACGGGCTGGTCGTAGCTGTAGTAGGGTAAAGTCTTCATGTGGTGAGGGACCTGCGGCCAAAAGCGGGAGCAGAGAAGAGGAAATGTCAGCACCGGGCTGGGTGTCCCCCGTGTCAGCAGCTCGTGTTGGTGCAGCAGCACCAGGAATGCCAGCAGGGCCTCAATCCCCCGGGATCAGCCCACGGGAGAAACCCCTGAGAGCTCCCTGCAGCACGTTCAGGTCCCTCTGGAGCAGCACTGCCAGGCTGGGAGAGCTGGGGGTGTTGGGCCCCGAGGAGGAAATGCTCCAGGGGGATCTCAGAGCCCCTTCCAGGGCCTCAAGGGGATGAGAAAAAGGAGGGACAAGGACTTTTTATGTGGACAGTGGTTTTACACTGCCAGAGGGCACAGCTGGACGAGATATTGGGATGGAATTCCTCCCTGTGAGGATGTGAGGGGCTGGGATGGAATTCCCAGAGAAGCTGTGGCTGCCCCTGGATCCCTTGGAAGTGTCCAAGGCCAGGCTGGACCCACCTGGGACAGTGGGAGGTGTCCCTGCCATGGCAGAGGGTGGAATGAGATAATTTTAAGGTCCCTCCCAAGCCAAACCATTCCAGGATTCCATGATCTCCACTCCTGGATGGATGTCCCACCTGGCAGTGCTGGAGCCCGAGCAGAGGCAGCTGCTGTCCCTCCCTCTCCCCAGTTTGTGGGCAGATGTTCAAACTGCCCAGTTCTGACTCTTTGGGATGAGCCAGCTCTGAAAAACGAACCGAGGGGTTTGTAAACCCAGCAGCTCCCAAAATCCATCCCCTTTTCCAGCCTGGAAAGCTGCTGAGTGTTTCCAGAGCGCCCAGACCAGCCTGGGAATGTCAAAGGCAGAGCCAGCTGGCAGCAGGGGTGGTGCCAGCACAGCTGGAGCAGGGGTTTATTCCTTGGTGCCAGCACAGCTGGAACATCTGTTTATTGCTTCCAGGACAAAGCTGCTCACCCAAGGTCACGATTCCCTGCGTTCTTTATCTTTCAACCTCCCCAAGACAAACATTGTCAAAGCAGCTCCACTGCTGCTCACCAGAGCTGAGCACATCCACACCTTGTACAAATGTATTTCCAAACCCTGCCAGATCCATCCTGAATCCCAACTCTTCGTTATGTAAATCCTCAGAAGCTGCCAGCCCCCCATCTGCTTTTTTCTTTTTAAATTTTTTCCCCCCTCTTCCATAAATATTCTACGCTTGCAAATGTTAATCCTACGACTAAATATGATTTATGGCACAACATCAGATACAAATCTTTGCAGATAATTTTATCATCTGCAGGAGATGAGCTGATCAAGTCGAAAGAAATATGCTCTGAGGGAGAAAAACACATGCAGCAGGAGAGAGAGAGGCGAGAGTTGATTCTAACGCTGCCAGCAAACCTGAGCTCATTATAGCTGGAGATATCCTACACATAATCCAATCTTGGAACAAATGCCTTTTGATTTTCCAGGCCAAACTTTAAGTGAAGACCACAGAGCTAATTTCTCCCAAATTTTCATTGCTCGGTGCACTTTATCCCAAAAAAAAACCATGGAGAAAGCAAAGGCATTAAGGCTAATTGGGAAGTTTTGCAGGGTCAGAGTTCCTCTTGATGTGGATCCCCTGCAGAACGCTGGAGAGATCCCAAAACCCTTCCAAGAGCTGGAATTCAGCTGCAAATACGATGTGACACGCCAGCTGAGTGGCAGGGATGTGGAGGACAAGCAATTTGATAGGACAGCTGTGCTCACTTGTGGATTCACAAGAACCCAGCTCTCCCCTGGATAGAGCAATAATCTGTGCCAGGCCCTGTCAGGGCTGAGCTTGGCCTCAGCTTTAAGGCAGCTCTTTATGGTTCCATAAAAGCCAAGGACTGTTTGTGTTCTGGAGAGCTGAGGGATGGAGGTCCTGCCTCAGCAGCAATAACACACAGCCCATTCAGCACCTGAGGCCTGGCTGTGAGCTCCAAACGGGACTCAGAGGCACCAGGATTTCCACAACATCTCCAAAAAGTGATAAACACAGAATTTCCCAGCCCTTTTCCAGTGACTTTGTAGAATCTCTCACTAATTTTCACTCCCAAGGTCTGTGCACGTATAAATCACAGCAGTAAAGGGTCGCTGGGTGGAGGGAGGGTGGATATTCTTTATCAGTGTAAAAAAATAAAGCAAAAGAGATGTATCAGGTTAATTTGTAGGTTAAAGAAAAGCAGGATGTTGCAGGTTAATTGGTAGAGCATTTTTAGGATAATGAGGCCCAGCAAGGGGTTCTCAGCCTGGCCCTTGTGTTGCTCTTCCTCTCCCTCTTTTGGGGCCTGGATTTCACTCGGGGAAATTAAAGAAATAATTGTGCCAAATGAATGTGAGAAGCTTTGTGCTCCAGTAAAGACTGAAGACAGAGATGCCACCAGCCCCTCCCAGCCCTGGCAGCCCTTGGGATGCCTCTGGAACCAAGAAAAGAACCACAAGAGCAAACTCAAATTTTCCTGGTCAAAGGGAGGACACCAGGACTGTCCCACAGAGCCCCGTCCTTCCCTGGAAAATGACTTTGCATTAGCAGGAAGACACAGGGCTCGGTTTTAATTTACACTGAGGTGACTGCAGGTGACACCTGAGCCCCCCAAAAGCTTTTCCAGGACACAGCCTTGGCTGTGGAAACTGCTGCAAATGTGGGGACAATTGTGCCAGCACTCATCCAGTGAAATGATGGAAAACACTGATGATGCTGTTCCCTCTACACAAAGCTGTCACTATTCTATTTTTACAGATTCAGAGATCAACAAAACACATTTCAAATCACCTAAGTTGCAGAGAATTAATTTTAGAAATGTTTTTCTTCTAGGTTCTGAGGTAATTTTTTTTTTCCCCCATTCCTGCTATGGAACTAATACCTGAGACACTCAGATGTGACCTTGCACAAGTCATTTTATGAGCTGGAAAATGAGAAGCTTCAGTCCTACTCCTGCTTGTCCTTGGAGTTTGGAGCTCTCTGAGGTGAGGACTGTTTGTGCAGGGACTGAAACAACCCAGCTGTGACCTGAGCTGGGCCTTTTCAGCTGCTTTGGTCTCCAAGAGACAAAAAAATAAAAAGCAGATCCAATTCCAGTCAAATAATAAAAAAAAAAAAAAATCCAGACAAATAAATACAGCCCTGGGATCGTGTCCTCAAGCACTGGGATGGGCTGATGGTGGAGTCCCCATCCCTGGAGGGATTTAACATGGAATCATGGGGTGGTTTGGGTTGAAAGGGAATTTAAAGCTTGTCCAGAGCCACCCCTGCCCTGGCAGGGACCCCTCCCACTGTCCCAGATTATCCCAGCCTGGCCTGGGACACTTCCAGGGATCCAGGGGCAGCCTCAGCTCCTCTGGGCTCCTGTGCCTCTTCACGGCATTTTCTCAAAATTTTCTATTTAATTTTTCTCTTTTCATTTCCATTTTCATTTCTAAAACCAGCACTGCCCAAATCTTAGCTGAAGTACTGAAAGTTTTTTGCAGCAGGAAAAAAACACAAACCAGCACGAGGACGAGCTCCAAAGTCACTGACACACAATGAACATTTTGTGTTTAGCCCAGGTGTGGCAGAACTCCCTGTCCGTCCTCCCTGGGAGGGTGTGAGGGGCTGGGATGGAATTCCCAGATTTGCTGTGGCTGCCCCTGGATCCCTGGAAGTGTCCCAGGCCAGGCTGGAGCCCCCTGGGACAGTGGGAGGGGTCCCTGCCCATGGGGTGGAACT